AAACAAAAAACCCAGATGCCCCAGTTAGAGCTTCTCTAACTCTTCAAGTCTTTAGTCCCTACATCTTCACCCAAAGCTATGAGTACGTATATACGTGTTTGTAACAAGTTTTTTACAAAGTACTCTCCAGTGCAAACTCTACCGAGCCAGCTTAGTTTTTGGTTAATTTATTGAGGAGCATAAATTATTTTTTCCAACTTCACGCTTATTTTGCTAAAATAATTTTCTTCCATTTCAATTGTTTTCAATAGAAAGCTTACAATAAAGACCCAATCTACCTTTGACTATATCAAATTTTAATCAGTTAGAACCTTTATCATTGAGTTTTCTTCTAAAACAATTATTATTATTATGTCAAATTTTATAAGGGCAAAGTGTACAGGTCCATACATACAATCATATATGATCTGCATAAGGCTTTCAACATATAAAGATGTAATATATAGACTATAACATAAAAGGAAGAGTCTAAAGAGAGACAACCGATTAAAGAATTTCTACCTTTTACTTGAAGGATGTAAAAAGTTATGTTATCTCTATTGTAATCCCCATAGCTATCAACAACAAAAAAATCTATACAAAGAGAAAGCCAAAAAGCCAATATTTACCTTAAAATGGATTATTAGAAAATAGCCAAGTAATCCAAAGACAGGTAAGAGGGTAACACAAAAAAAAGAAGGGAAAACAGCAAATAATAAAAAAGCAGGTCTAGGGGCGCCTGGGTGGCTCAGTGGGTTAAGCCGCTGCCTTCGGCTCAGGTCATGATCCCAGGTCCTGGGTTCAAGCCCCACATCGGGCTTTCTGCTCAGCAGGGAGCCTGCTTCCTCCTCTCTCTCTGCCTGCCTCTCTGCCTACTTGTGATTTCTCTCTGTCAAATAAATAAATAAAATCTTTAAAAAAAAGGGGATTTCAGAAAACTTACATACTTAGCCCCTGTCCTCAAAGACTTCATAATCTTATTTGCAAATGGAGTATGCATCCTCTTGATAAGACAACAGAGTATGGGTTAAGAGCAAAATGTGGGGGCGCCTGGGTGGCTCAATTGTTAAGCATCTGCCTTGGGCTCAGGTCATGATCCCAGGGTCCTGGTTCAAGCCCCACATCGGGCTTTCTGCTCAGCAGGGAGCCTGCTTCCTCCTCTCTCTCTGCCTGCCTCTCTGCCT